ACTTGGTATGCTAGTAGCCTGTATGCACAGGTAGTCTTGCACCATTTTGGCAATATTTTTGTAATTTTGATTATTTGCATGAGCTTTCCACCATGATAATACAGTACTTTACAATCAACTTCTGCTGACTTAAGATAGTTTCGTAATTCACTTGCTACACCAGGAGAATTAAACGAATGCTTAAGAGCCTTCTTGAAATAATCACATGAAGTTAATTGTACAGTATTTGTTTTGGACGATGAACTAGTATTAGAGGTATTATATTTTGAATAAAGGTTTTTCATATATTCTTGAGCCTTATATTGTTTTTCTGTGTTATATAATGAAAGCTTAATATTTGGATTGAGTGAAGCAATCATAAAGGATGATTGATCCAATTTTTGCCAATATTCATCAAATTTAATTGTCATAGCCATTACAACGAGCTTTGTTGTAGTTTTTTCAATTGTATTATAGATAATTTCATCAAAAGATCTATTAATTGTTGTGAATATTAAATGAAGATCTTTTAAGGTTGGATGACTTGACGATAAAAGCATTAAAGTTGCTTGGTAAATGGGATTAAGAAAATTATAGATTTCTTTGATTTCTGACCATTCTAATTCAGTTGGATAATTTGGTTTCAACAAATTATTTAATGCAACAAAAATATCAGTCATTTCTTTAATTCTTTTTAATTTTTTAATCATTAGAAATGTGCTATTCCAACAAGTTGGAACGTCTAAATCAGGTACAAGAAACTTCCTATTTTTCATTTTAAATATCTCTTTCAGTTCTCTAAAAATTGGTTGTAAATTGCGTATAGTAGATGCAAATGATCTTGCTTTTATAATAGAAGAATCAACAAGTTTTAATCCTTCCATGACGATTAAGTTTAAAGTGTGGGTGGCACAATGATAATGTTGAAAATTGTTATTATTAAATTTTTCATCAAGGCTTCATCATAAGTGAGAAGCAAAAGTAATCATATTTGCTGCATTATTAGTTGTTGCAGCAATTATTTTTTCACCAATTTTGTAGAAACTAATAATTTCTAAGATAGCATTTGAAATATTTAATCCTATATAATCATCTTTAACAGAGACAAAATTGAGAAGCAATTTTTATGCATTCTAATTATCATCAATCCAATGGAGTGTTATGGACATATAATTACTATTATTGCAAGCCGTCCATGAATCAGTTGTAATGGCTAATTTTTTTATTGGTTTTAAAAAATTTTTTAATAACAATTTTTGATTTTGATAAATTGCCTTGATCTGATTAAATATAGTTTGTTGAGATGGTAATCGATACTGTTCGTCAAGTTCTTCAATAAGTTCAATAAAACTAGGATCTTTAATGACTATAAAGGGCTGTTGATTACAAATAATCCACTTTATAAGTAGATAAGTAATATACTTCATTATCTATTCCATAAGGTTGAACTGTTTTGTTTTTTTAAGTTCTAACTCTATTTAATTATAAATATCTGTATGATATTTTCTAAAATGTGTTTTAATTGTACTAATTCTTGTTGATTTTTGCCATTTTACTTGAGGATGTTGTCCTAGACATAGTATATAGCAAACAAAAATCTTGCTATCACTTGGTTTAAAATGTTCGCGTAAGGGATAAGGTTTTTTCATTTTTTATTTAATGAATTATCAAATAACGATTCTATAGTTAAAGGATCTACATTTTGTAAAGAATCTTGTATTTCGTTATATAAAGAATCTTGTTCTTCGATAATATTAGTTAGTATTGTTATTAGTATGATCCATGATGCAAAAATTTAACATTCAAAGATAAAAAACATCTCTTTAAATAAAAAATAATTTATTATTTTTTTAATTGTATTTATTTTTACATTTTTTTAATTGCTTGTCTTATTAGTTTATTGCTAGTGATAGGACTTAAAAATTTAAATTTCATGCCCATGATTCATTGAAAAAAATTATTCTTTATAAGCGACAATTAAGAATCACCTATTTTTCATTAGTCCCATCACTACCTATTACTATGTCTAATTAATAATCATATGAGGTTATTGAACAATAACAAATTTCTATAATAAGAAATAATAAACCTTTGAACAAAAACTATTTGCCAAATTAAAGACAACAAACTGTTTGAACAAAAACCATTTGCCAAATTAAGAACAATAAACTTTAAAAAAACTAATTGTCAATTCAAACCCAATAAATTAGTTTAGAAACATCGAACAAAAGCTATTTGCCCAAATTAAGAGCTATAAACTAGTTTGGAAGCTTATATCTTTTCTAATTTAAGTTTGAACT